ATTAGGCTTCCAACTAACACGAGTTAAAAGTAGGGAACTGGATCACCCTTAGGAGCATAAAGCTTCCCTATCCCTTCCAGCATTGGCGAAAAGAAAAAGAAAGTACATAGCGGTAGCTTGCGAACTTATCGACTCACTGCATCCCTCACGTCTACTTTCTTTCGCCTTCAAATACAGCAACATAAATCTACTCTCTCAATCATGCCCTTGTCTTCTGCTTCTAACTACCTCAGATTACCTATTATATCTGACGCACAAATGCAGAATTTTAGCTTTAGGATCAGTTAATCTCCGGTTTGTCCTTTTCTTAGTACTGTTTTATTTTAACGTTCATATGTCTTATATTAGTTTCGGACTTTCTGTACAGCGTTTTTGAACATTTTTAGAATTGCACAGCTTTTTCTTTTTTTGTCGTAAGCAAGAAAATCCAATGAGAATGCTTGTGGAGTTCTTCGATTCACACGCCTCTCTCTTATATGAAACTAAAAGTAGATTTTTTATATCCTCAAAATTTCGCTTATATTATGGCGAGAAATCTAGTATGTGGCAAAAATATGGTCATCAGAACAATGTATAATTAATACGAAAAACATGCGAATAGTGAGGTATGAAATATGAGATGTATTGAGCGATAAAGCGAAAATAGTTATTATTTCAACACAGTTAATTCTCAGATTCCACTTTAGACCAAGATATTTTGTTTGTAGCGCTGTTCCTCACTTTTAGCTAATTTATGTCAGTCACTTGGTCAAGATTTTCCAATTTTACTAGAAGCGTAGTTTATTGAAGATGTATGTCTTATATGTCTTGTCTTCTATATCTTACTAGCCCACCTATGTCGGCAGTAAGAAATAATAACGAATTGATTTTTTAAAAAATGTTTTGACACTATCATAGAGAGGCTTATTTTCCCTTCATATGGTGGGTCCAACTTGGAAATATCCCCATTTTTCATATTTCAGTGCAGATTTTCTTTTATGTTAGTGATCATGAGTGTATGTTCATTTTGGAACTTCCCATTCTTTCAGTTGTTTTCTTATGATTCAGTAGGAGACCGTGATGTCGAAGGCCGATCAACTGATTATGGAACGGCGGCTACGGCCCATTTATGGTTAGCATATCATTCTCTTTGAATTTTTTGGCCTAATATCTTCGTAAATAGACGCCATTGATGCTGGAAATGCTAAGAAAGCTGTGCAGGAAGCGGATAAAGTGCTCAAGAAGCATCCGATCACTACATGCGCCAAGGTAAAGAATCATACTTTCGGAAACATTCTTCTACGTCTATCCGCCATTACGTTTCTCTTTTTTCCAATAGAGTTTTGCTCGCCTTTCCCAAAGTTATTCTTGCTTGCAATTCATTATAAAATTTCTTTGTATTTCCAAATTTCCAGATATACAATTTTCATCAATAATTCAGATTTTCAGCTGCTGAAGTGAGGTAGTGAAAAGTGGCAGTTGGAAAATTGGTTTTGGCCTTAAGAGCGCCTGCTTAGTCTTTTCGTTGCAATGGTTTTAACCGGTTGAATTCTATTCAATGGCATGTCTTTTTGAGAAAAACGAGCTTTTCGATATCCCTTCAGATTACTTTTGGTCAAAGTTTTCTGACACTTTTCCATAGACGGAGATGTCGAAAAAGCTGCTCCCGACATCTGTGCTGCCCATGAAAAGAGTGCCATAGCTGAAAGAACCACTCGTTAATGATATGCCAACTTCAAAAATGAAATTTTTGACCTCAAACACGCGTCTCGTTCTGCCGTCCAGTTGAGTTCGAAAAAACAAAACCTACTTTTGCATGAAAACTTGCCTGAAGACAAGGGAAGTGACAGAGAAATGGAATACAGAATTTTCTCTTTGTTGAAAAATTTAAGAGGCCGAGCTTAGTTGCTAACCCGTTATTAGGCAGCTCAGTTTTACACTCGAGCCCACTTTCGGTTAGGAGCACATAAGGACTGAACGAAGCGAAAAGAAAATTATTTTATTCCCTAGAAAATTATCAGTATTTATGGCAGTTTTTAGGTCAAGATGTTCTATTTAGCAAAATGGTATTGGAAATATTTTCAGGTTCTCAAAGCATTGGCATTGATTCGTTCTGATAAGCTCGCAGAGGGCTTTGAAATAATAAATTCATTAGACGTCCCTGGTGCACAATTCGATGATGGCACTCTACAGGCATTTGTGCATTGCTTTAAGGTTGGTTGTATTGCATCATTTTCATTATGTATGGACTCTCAAATTTTGGTGTTTTTTTTTTGCTTCTTCCGTCAGTGCACCTTTTCATTTTACGTATTTTCGATCTTGTTTGCTTTGAGAGTTGAAGGCCTATTCAAAACAGCAGAATAAATTCCATACCTCCAATTATAATTTTTCTGTCCGGCTTTGACTTTTTTATGGATGTGAAAATAATGTTTACGAATGCTTCCGAAAAGGTTCATTATCACCCGTACAAAAGGGAAGTCTATGACATTTTCCAATCATGTCTTCCATGTGATCGTTGACTTTGTGGGAGCTGTATTATATGTACCATCTTAAAATTTCCATAATAGATACCTTTCGAAGGTAGCAAAAATCACTTTCCGGCTTTGTACCTGTGTCACCGAGACATATTTAACGCTAGCACTTAGTGCTAGTGATGTGTTTCTCTATAAGTCAATTACACTATTGTGTTGACTGTGCAGTTCCACCGCATCCCTACATGAACATATAGATCCAAGTTTAGATACTCCTTCTTGACTGTTTTGCTTTTCAGGAGTTTCCAAGGAAAATCATGATGTGAGTATTATGCGAGGGCAATATGTTACAACAATAGTTCACATTGATAGAAATTCGAAACAGATATTTGTATTCGAGTCCAATCCAATATTCTTGACTTTTTGTTTATTTATGGCAATCCGGCGTAGCAGGAGGTCCAAAGACATGCCGCTATTCTCGGAGGTGGCAATTAAAGGCGCGAGCCATCCCGGATGAGTCGGTCAACGTGCTAAAAGTTGGGTGCGGCTGCACCCATCGCGCCGTCAATTGGCGTATCTTAATCCAAACCGTGCGTACACGAATGAAAGCCTTTTACAAAAGGAAGAACTAAACCATATGCTGATGTTCAAAAGGCGAAAAAAGAAATGCAGCAGATCTTGCACACATCTTATCTAAAAAGATCTATAGAAACGAGCATTGTTGTTCTAGTAAATATAGACATTTCAACGAGCTCCTGATGACGGTACTCGTAACAGAAGTTACAAGATTATTGCTAGTTTTTTGTACGACATCTCTCACTTGTGCTAAAACGCGGTTTCTCTCTTCATGGGCTCACAGCGAGCTTTCGAACTGGTAACTTTTGATATTCACAGCAATGTGCAAATACTTCAAAGAAATCATGGAAGTTTAGGTATTTATGCGACTTTGCTTAGCTGTGAGTCTACGAAATCGCTTTTACTGAAGAAAAATTTCAAAGACATTGGAGTACGATTTCTCATTTTAGGCTTGATAGAACAATACAGTTTGTTGCTTCCAGTATCATTAACAGGGTTTTACTTAAAACAATATTGGTACAAGCAGTGGTTAATGAAAAATCGAACCTGGCGTAGAACTTAATCTTGAATTTCATCTAAGTAATTTGAAAGAAGATCACTCGAACTATTCATCAAAGCAGCAGATTTTCTTGACAAACCTTTTAAAAATTTCTGAAATTCTTTCTTCTTTCCCTGAAATCTCTACTTTCAGTGCTAATCGTTGATAACCATGGAACTCATATAATATGCAAGATTGAAGCTTGACGGCAATTTGTGGTTAAGCAGCCTAAACAGTCACTGTGAACTATAACAGTGCAGCTATTAGTCATTCGGTAATGACGACCGTTTAAAACGAGTATTTTTCTATCGGTATCGGTTGATCCGCAAGTGCCGTCAAATCCAAAATTGTGGCCTATAAAATAATACTGATCAACAACTTACCAAGATTTTTGAACATCGAATATTTGTACTTGAAAAAGCACTTAATAACTTTTCCAAAGTCTCATGTCTTTTATCCTGTCTCCATTCATAACAAGGCATATTACTTTCTTCAAATGAATGCGCGTCACATAATCTGGATCAGGATTAAGAGAAGTTACTACTTCATTGAAAAAAGCGGGGAAATTCTCATTCAAACACTGACTTTTATAATGCGGGCCAACAATCCACTTCAAAAATGCTGTTTCTTAACTATTTATGAGCGAGTTTTCCCGGAATTCAACTGTGACGTGTATTTGACAATAAATCAACACATACCAAAAAACACCTTTTGTTTTTGGCTATAACAGGGAATTGGAAAAATCAGAGAATGCGTGTTCGAAAGCTGCCATAATTATGACTGCCCAATTTTTAAACGTCGCTCTTTGTCTCTAGGTATTTCATACGAATAGTACTGCAACTCTTGAACATTCAGTGTTTAAATTTGTTAGCACATTAAAAGAAAACTGAGTCAGTTTCTGCTATCTTATACGAAAATGATGATGAAGTCATAACGTTGCAAAAACTGGCGTCATTGGTCAAGGAAAAACATTGACTGGCTTAGGCAAAACTTTTTGGAAGGGGTTAAATATAATCTTTAACTATACAAACTCGTTCTGCCGCTCGGCTTGAGTGGCGTGGCAGCCAAGATAAACGATAGCTTGCGCCAACCGCATGCGCCGCATAGATTGCCCCGCCTCTATGGATGTCTCCATACTTCATAAGGATTGTCGATTAAGGGTGGACGATTGCATTGCGGCCTCCTGGTGATTGGCGTGAGTGATTTGGCTATATCCCAACCCTCGCACTTTTTTCTTCCTACTTTGACTTACTTTCTTTCTTTATGTTGAGCTGGAGTTCTCAGGAGTTG